GATGATGATGACGAAGATGCTGATGATGATGATGACGATGATGATGTCGACTTGACATGACATGATGATGATGCTTCATGGTCCTCACTCTTTTCCGTGTTGGCCTCTTTGCTGTACTGTTGTGGCGTGTGTGGTGGGTATTGATGTGGCGTGTGGCTTGTGGTGAGTACTGTTGTGTGGCGTGTGTGGCGGGTATGTATTGTTGTAGTGTGTGGATTGTGGTGGGTATTTTGTTTGAGTGTGGCTTATGCCGTTTGGTTAACACACATTATATCATGTATACTGCGTACGTGTGAGTGTGTGTGTGTGAGAGTGTGTATGTTCGTGCGTGTGTGTGTCTGTATTAGCCATGTTTGTGTGTGTGTGTATATGTGTGTGTATGTGTATGTGTGTATTTGCCATGTGTGTGTATTTGCTGTATGTGTGTTGTGTGTGTGTGTATTTGCCATGTGTGTGTGATTATGTGTGTGTGTATTAGCAATTTGTGTGTGTGTGTGTAGTGTGTGTGTGTGTGTTAGCCATGTTTCATTGATAAATTGCAGTAAAACATCGTACGCTGTGAGTTCTTATGTAACCACCGACGAACAACTGATTCCATTTAGAGGGAGGGTGCCATTCAAACAATACATTGTTGGTCGTGAAGAAAATAAAAGACATACTGGACTGGCCTTGCAGAGCATGTTGCGTTAACATTAGAGCAGAACCAATCTTCAAATCTGCAGTCAGCATAACTTTCCAGACAATAGGTTTCAATTGGTTTACGAACACAACACTAGCAGAAAATTTGCTAAGAAAGCAAATTACACTCCTTAAGACAGTGCGAAAAATAAGCCTGCAATACCGCCTGATCTTCAAACAAGCAAAATGTGGGGTCATCTTTCTTTGGTGGTTTAACTCAACGACTAAAACTTTAGTTTCATACGTGCCAAGAAAAAAACAAATCTGTTAAATTGCTTTCCACTATGAATTCAGACGCTGAAGCTGAAAATGGAACTGGAAAACCAACGTTGATAGTAGACTACAATAAAACAAAATCGGCTGTTGATCGAGTTGATCAACTATGCCACAATTACAGCGTCCAGAAAAAACAAATGAACGAATGACTGGGGATTGAATGACAATGTTGACTGGTACAAAAAAAGATACCAGCTCGCAAAGAATACAATGTGTAATGCATGTGTTTGTACATGTTGTACATACGTTCTTATCATAGCGCTGTGTGTGTGTCGTGTGTGTGTGTATGAATCTGTCGCGTTTTAGCAAAGTTTACTGGGCTTGTTTGCTTTGGTGAGGAGCGTCACACACACACGCAAACACACACACACACGCATTTAATCATTATCATCAAAGTAATCATTATCAACATTGTCGTCATCAGAATACTTCGAAATTTCATTTTCGACTATTAATTAAAATATCAGTAGCCAGCAATCATCATCATTTTCTGTCAAATGATCATTACCAATATCGTCATCATCATCACCTCCACCATCACAATCATCATCATCATCTGCATCATATTCATCATCATC